TGGTTAGATTTTTTTGATGTTCATATATGTGTATGTTGGTAAGCCTTTTAAAAGTTTTGGATCCACAGATAACAAGTGCTAACTAGTTTTTAAAAATTCATTTAAAGTGTATGAATTACCAAGTTTACCATGGGGAAGAATGTGAGAGAGAGGACCTAGTCTGTAAAAAGAGCCATTGTTTCTAAGGCCAGTTCTGTTTCTTATTTGTGGTGCTCGTGGGGGGGTTGTTTTTTGTTTTTGAATAGTTAATACATTCATATGATTCAGAATTTAAGAGATATAACAGCATATGCTTTGCAAATTCTTTCTCCTAGCTATTTATTTCTCCTTCCAGGGGAGCAACCAATGTTTTCATCTCTAAAGCTATTCTGGTTTTGATAAACTTAGGTAAATTTTGATATATTTGTAACCAATGGGTACCTAATACTTTATGTTCTATTTATGTCACTTGGCATGATTTATTACCTAATCTTATTGCCTTATTAAGAGCATATAATTATTTCTACTTAACTGTTTACTTATGGGCATTTAAAATTTTTTTCTGTTTAATTTTATTGCTTTTTAAAATAGCAAACGTTAGCATATTTGTAAAAATACAGGTACTTTTTAAATTGAAAATTATATTTTTATTTCACAATTTAACATTTCTGAAATTCTGTATATTAAGTGATTATATTTACTGTAAGCAGTGTTTTTTCCCTGTGGAAAGCTGTTATTATATTCATGATATCACTTAATAATCAGTAGCATCTTAATATAGAGGAAAAATGATATTTTCCTGGTGTTTGTTTCTCGGAGGGGAAAAAGTTAAGGATGTGATAACATCATAATCCTCATTCTTTGTCACTACATTTCTTATCAGAGTGATTGAATTAATTGCAAATCTTATTCCCCCTGCCCCCTGTTCCCAGTTTAATATGTATGAGAGTGGTTAACCTCAGCGTTTAAAAAAGGACAGTCTTAGGGGCTTCCCTGGTGGCGCAGTGGTTGAGAGTCCGCCTGCCGATGCAGGGGACGCGGGTTCGTGCCCCGGTCCAGGAAGATCCCACATGCCACGGAGCGGCTGGGCCCATGAGCAACGGCCGCTGAGCCTGCGCGTCTGGAGCCTGTGCTCCGCAACGGAGGCCCACACACCACCAAAAAAAAAAAAAAGGACAATCTGTATTTGCCTTGTATGTTTTCCTTCAAGTGTTATAAAATATCCAAAGTTTTAGACAAATTAGATAGCAATCTTTATTACTCAGTGTTTCTGTATTACTGAAGTCAGGTTCAGCTGCTTGCCTCTTGAAAGCCAGTACTTGAGAGGCAAGTGTTGGTTGGAAAAGGAAAGTTTGCTTTAGGAGCCCGGCAGTCTGGGCAGAAGGCGGACTCGTGTCCAAAAACCAACTTCAAAGATTCTGCTCAACCGTGAAAGTTTTTAAAGAGTGAATCATTTGGGGAGGGGGTCAGAGTCTTCCTTATCTTCCACTGTGTACCTTTCTTCTGATTGGTTGGTGGTGAGATAACCAGGCAGTGTTCCAGGAATCCTGTGCTCAACCTGAAGTTACCGTCCTCCACCTGGGTAGGGGCCTTAGTTCCTGCAGAAGAACTCAAAGGTATTTTGTTACGTATATTCCTTGAGGAGGCACCAGGACCCCGCCCCATGGCTGCAGTATTGTTTCTTGATTGCTCCTGCTTTGTTTCTGTGTTCCCTCCCTTCCCTGAAAAGCGACTGTTTGAATCTGCCCTTTGGAACTGAGGGAAGGTCAAGGAGGCTGAATGAAGCCTATTTCCTACAAACTAGAAACGGGGGACCCAGAAAGGATTTTTACCTAGGAGTGCCCCATGGGGTCTTGTTCCATTTCATCTGGAATAATATTTGTCTACATATTCCCAGGTCTATCATAAAGTTCTTAAAAATGATTATTAATTTTTAAAGCATATACAGACTATGAAATTGGTAGAAATTTTCTCCTTCAGTCATAGTAGAGTACATACATAGGTGTGAAACAAACTCACGGTGTGTGCCTTGATCATAGTGTCATTGTTTCATTGTTTACACACTCATTTGTCATGTTTCATATATATATATATATATATATATATGTTTAGTTTTGTGGTTGTTTCCAGTGCGTTGCTGGGACTTAGTATATGTGCTGGGTAACAGATCTTCAAAGCGTGCAGTGGTTAATGTGTTTGTGTGTCCTTCTTTTAGTTGTGTACTGTTCTAATTGAAAGCTTATTACATGTACCCGTGGAAAGAAATTTGAAGAGTTGTTAAAGAAATACAAACCTCAGTACCTGGCAGTTATTTCCAGAAGGGTCTGTGAGAGAGTGAGGAGGAGGGAGCTGTGGCTGGGGGGAGCGCTAGTTGGAGTATTCCTGCTCTGCAGGATGTTATAATTTACTAATGGTTAAAAACATGAAAGAACCTTGTATTTATTTAAACATAACGTCCATGTTTAATGAGTAGCGCCCAGGGGTTGACATCATCTGGTGGTGGCAAATTTGGGGGATTATAATAAAAATTGGTTCTTTTTTTAATTTAATCTGCTTTAGTTTAGAACATAAAGCGCATTTCCCCAAAGATAGCCTTTGCAACAATTATTTAAACAAGAGATTTCAGGGAAGTAGTCAACTTTTTCGATTGGTTTGGTCTTTAATGCTAGCTACGGGGAGCAATTACTTGGATTATCATTTTGACATAATTTTTCACCCAGCAATCCTTTTGAAAGTATTGTTTGCTTCGATTGAAACATTGAAATACTTCCTCCTGCCCGCAGTGCCCTAGATTAAAAGAGAGAGAAACACAGGCAAACCAACATGTAAAATTGGGTCAGTCGTCATTCAGGGGCCTGTGTGCCAGTGGTCTGGATTGTGTAGAGTTGGGAGTCGCAGGAAGTCCACAGGGAGACAGCAAATTGCTGCACCCTCTGTGCTTGGTGGACAAAAAGAGGATTAGGGCCCTGAGGAATCCAAGACAGTAAGCGTCTCACAAAGAGGAAAGGAATCTTGTGTCACTGTTGGCAGTTGTGGATGTTGATAGGAATAAGGGATCAGGATTGGAACAAGAGTATTTAGTTGGTTTATAGCCCCTGGCCAGTTAGGAGAATGGGCTGGGACTTGTTGCTCCCCCTTGGAAAAGGTCTGGGAGGGCTGTGGGTTTTAGAAAAAATGAACGGGAGTGTGGGTGAAGGTAGAGTACTGAGGTGGCATTGAATGTTGCTCGTGAGTATTTTTTGTTTTATAACTTATTTTAATTTTTACTTTTTTTTTTTTTTTTTTGGCGGTACGCGGGCCCCTCACTGTTGTGGCCTCTCCCGTTGCGGAGCACAGGCGCCGGATGCACAGGCTCAGCGGCCATGGCTCACGGGCCCAGCCGCTCTGCGGTATGTGGGATCTTCCCGGACCAGGGCACGAACCCACGTCCCCTGAATCAGCAGGCGGAGTCTCAACCACTGCGCCACCAGGGAAGCCCCATTGTTTTAATTTTTATAAATTTATTTTATTTATTTTTGGCTGTGTTGGGTTTTCATTGCCACGCACGGGCTTCCTCTAGTTGCGGTGAGCACGGGCTGCTCTTCGTTGTGGTGCACAGGCTTCTCATTGCGGTGGTTTCTCTTGTTGCGGAGCACGAGCTTTAGGCGCACGGGCTTTAGTAGTTGTGGCACGCAGGCTCAGTAGTTGTGGCTCGTGGGCTCTAGAGCGCAGGCTCAGTAGTTGTGGCGCACGGGCTCAGTTGCTCCGCGGCATGTAGGATCTTCCTGGACCAGGGCTCGAACCCGTGTCCCCTGCATTGGCAGGTGGATTCTTAACCACTCCGCCACCAGGGTAGCCCCTGCTTGTGAGTTCTATGGGTGTTGTTTGTAGTCCACCCATACCTGTGGAATTAGAATCACCAGTGAGGTACCCGTTTCCTGTTTCACATGTGACATGCTATTACAGTGAAGTTATGATTATATAATGTATTATGATTATACGAATGTGGTTCTGATCATATAATGTAAACAGCTACACTTGAGATGAAGATGTGGAAATGAGATTTTTTTCACTTCATGAATGGAGATGTATATATATATTTTTAAATTTTTATTTATTTTTATATATCCATATGTACACACATACACATAAACACTTTTTTTCTTTCTCACAGAAACCAAAAAAGGAGTTGGTAGCAGTTTTGTTAAACATTTCCCCCCCACCACTAGTTAACAGATTTCAGGTGCAAATACACTTTCATTAGCCAAATTCAAATATCTCTGTCAGTCACCCACCACTAGAGAGTGTGGAGTGTGGCTTTGATTTGCCCCCTCGTTTTCATGGTAACTAGATGTTCCATTTTCCAGCTCTGTCTTTGAACAGTGTTTCTGGTTTGGTCTTGAAATGATACTGCAATTGTCCTTCCAAATTATCTTCTTTTGTGTGGGTGTAGTTGTAGATCTGTCTCAGAGTTTTGTTCAGGATAGTACATTTTAGAATTTGAACTAGAGGAGACTTTCCCCTTTGACTTAAGCCACCTCTGTGGGGCAGAAACACCTCTGTGTTAATTGCTCTGCAATCCAGTGAAGCAGAAGCAGGTGGTTGAGCTAAGGAGAATGCTTGCTAAGAAGAGGAAAGAAACTGTTGTAGATCCGAATTTTAGCTCCAGCATGGTAAAAGATACCAGTCAATCTTCTACCATCTTTTCCCTTTCATTGGCTCTCGTGCTGCCACATCTGGCTTCACTTTTGTTTTCCAAATGAGTTTATTAGTTTTGCCATTTTGCATATGGCTGGGTTAACCCTGGAAAGACTGCTCTGGGAAACACTCTTGACATTTCAAATAGAAACAAAGCTTGAGACAGAGTTTCGGGCCATCCCTGTGAGCCCCTCCAGCATAGGCCAAAGCATCGGACTCTCATTCCCCCGTGAAGAGGGAAGCGTAAAGTGGTACAATGTGGAGGCATCTCCGGATTTTTCTTGCCTGTACTTCCGGTGGGGCTGATTTGGAAATCTGCTCTATCTCTCCTTTCTTGCCTGCAGGCTGGTGGCTCTCAGGTCATCTTTACTAACCCTCTGGAGATAGTCAAGATTCGCCTGCAGGTAGCTGGAGAGATCACCACAGGACCCAGGGTCAGTGCCCTGAATGTGCTCCGCGACCTGGGACTCTTTGGTCTGTATAAGGTGAGTAGATTCCCTTGGGTTATCTCAGTAGAGAAGTTGCAATGTACTCAATAGAAATGTGAAAAAATGTGGAACCAGACTTCTCCCCCGCCAAATGGAAAAGGAATCTTGTCCAGCAGGGTGGTCCCTGGAGTAGAAAATCAAACAAAAAGGAAAAACCAGGACACTTCTATTAGAGGCATTGGGATATACAAACATGCTCTCCTGTTGTCATCTTCAGGCCTTTGTGAAGCTGCCAGCAGGGAGGCCAGCCCTGCAGACCAGCTGGCTGCAGGCTCACAGCCTTTTATTTGATGGTGGGTTTGGGAAGTTTCTTTGGTGTTCTTTTGGGGCTGGTTTAGGACTTCAAAATAGTCTTACGTTTATTTTGAGTCTGAGTTATCTCTATTGTTATCTTCCCAGTAGGAGCTTCTCTTTGTCTTAATAATTTGACCACAGTGAAACAGTAGTAGAGTTTGGTAGGATTCAGGTCTTTAAGAAGTTAAGTGGTGGGATTTGTCAATAATGAATTCCATTTAAAAACACAAAACCAAACCAAACCAGGGTGTACTGTACTTTAGCAAAACGCCAGTCAACAGAGTCCTTCCCCACAGGTGTACTTACTCCCATCATTACACATCAGATGTAATGGAGCAGAAGCTATTATTTTTCTTAAACAAGGAAGAATATTTCTTTCTATTCTTTTGCCTGGTATAAAGGGGGTATACGTAAATTTAGCTTTTATAGACAACTGTGTTTCCACAGCATCTGATTTATTTATAGATCCATCACAGTAGAAATGTGTAAATTGGCTTCTGTAGCTACAAATTGGAAATTAGAAATTCTCTAGATTAGAATCACACAGCTACAAGGCTCTTAGGAGACCAGTAAACCAATGATGCCTATCCTGAGAGAGTTTTGTACATATTCCCTCTCCTCTGCCCCCAGCTTCCATCCTTTTTGGAATTCCCTTTGAGAGCTGATTTGATTAAAGTTGTTTCTCTCTGTATCATCTTTCAGAGAGTCCCAGGAATTTTTTTTTTTTAATGTTTGAGTTTGTCTTTTAAAAACAGAGCCATCGGGGAAACAAGTACCAAAGACGGAGTTTTTGCCTGGCTAGCTAAAGCCTGGGGAGTAGAATAGTGGGGTTGAGGAAGGTGTTCATTGCGACCTCAGTCACTGAGACAAGCTGTACCTGGCTGGATTTCTACTCCCAGGGAAATTTCCTGCTAAAATATTTTGTCTGGGTTTCCCCCGTCCTCTGCTATTTAGGACATGGGGAATGAGGAGGGAAGATTGGTGGTTTCTTTTTCCCCTTCCCTAAAATAGTCACTTTCCTTTTCCACTGCTCCTGTCCATAGCTTCTTACCTGGTACTTCAGGGACTCAAAGCTGAGGTGGGTTGAATTGGTAATTTGTTAGTTTTGGGGGCTGCCTTTGCTGGTTGCTTTGAAATCAAGCTATTAATATTGGGTTTCTAAGTCTGTTCCCACCCACACGCCCTCCCCCTGGCACTCACCAAAGCCAAACAGAACAAGCAGCCTAGAGATTTGAGCATTGAATTTTTATTAACCTTAAAATCTGAATCTATACTGGAAATGCCAGAAAATGCTTAGTTGTCAGAATACCATCATTACCCAGTTAACTAACTCTAGGACTCCTGGGTCCACCAGTGTTTCTCAAACTTTGAGCCGTGTCTCTCTACTTCCCTGTGCCCAGCTGGTTCTCCCATTTCCCTTCCACATCAGTCCCAAAGCTGTTTGAGGGACATCTCAGGCTTGTCACCCTGGATCCCTGGTGGGCATTCACACCTTGTTTACACAACTGTTTCGCACTGTTTCCTCACTGTGTGACAGGGTGCCAAAGCGTGCTTCCTCCGAGACATTCCCTTCTCTGCAATCTATTTTCCTGTTTATGCTCACTGCAAACTACTTCTGGCTGATGAACACGGACACGTGGGAGGTATATATCTCCTTACAGCTGGAGCCATGGCAGGTAACTACAATATTTTTTTTAAACCAAAAGAGTCCCCGCCTCCCCCTACATTCTCTTTAAGAAGTACAGAATCTGTATGTGCTTTCCCCCTTTATTTCTGGAAAGGTTATTGTTTGTATCTGACTTAGTTTAAATATGATCCCTTTTTCTCCTTTGCGAGGTGTGCTGTAATTCTGATGAGAGTTAATTTCATTTGCATAATGTGGATAAACAGCTTAATGCAGCTTAGCAACTTAGAGCCAAATTAGCTCTGCCCATCTCAATTGGGCTTTCATCAGTAACGTGTTCCTTAGCCTCCTCTACCCCTGAAACCTTGGGTGCAGCCAAGCTAAGCATTAAGGTGGAAAAATTCTTCATCAAACCAGTTGCTTTGTTGTACCTCATCCTGACGCACAGGTCTAAGCATGCTCTCACTTTCTAATTCTGTATATTGGAATCAACACGATTTGGCTCAAAATCGAGTTTGCTTCAGGAAGCTGTTCCTGTTCCTTCTGCCATCGTCCTCATCAGACCAAAGTGAGCCGTACTTCCCCAGCACACACCTTGCACTCCGTTGGCGTCTCTTCTCTGTCGCTTAACACTTTTTGTCTTTTATTAATGGTTGTTTGCATAAGTTTTACCCCCTGTACTGGACTGGAAGCTCCTTGAGGGCAGGGGTTTCATTCTGTTCATCCTTGCCTTCCCTACGTGGCCAACATAGTAATAATAGGAGCTCAGTAAATGTTAACGGAACGAATGAAAATCCTCATCTGGTCTAAGATACTGGATTTAAGCACAGAAGAGATTCCATCTGAAAGATGAGCCCAACAAGTGCAGGAAGGTACTAAGACACTTCCTCCTGATCTCATGCTCCAGCCTTCCTCTTGAGCTGTGAGGGAGCTGACTCAGGATAGAAGGGGAGGACCAGGCGTCCTTTGTTGCACCAGCCCTCAGATGTGACAGAAGAAGGAAAGGGCGCATGTGTGCTCCCCGTTACAGCTGGTCAGGGAGAGAAATGGGCAAGGTGAATGAGCACAAACCCAGGGCTGTCCCCAGGTGCTTAGGGTGGCTCTTACCACTTGGCTCCTGGCACTGCTGTGTGGCTCACTGGGCACCTTCTCCTCTGGTTTGCTGGCTAAGCACAGCAGGATAGCCCGAGCACTCCCTGGAGTGTGGTGTGTGGCAGGAGCCCTTGCTTCCAGGGGTGTCGGGTGGGCATGTTACTCTTCTCATCCACAATGATAGGGAATGACTTGTGATGATCAAGAAACTCTCCCAGGGAGCCTTGAGCCCTTATTTGGGACAGTCACTTGCAGGTATAATTTGAAAGCCAGTAAAGCTGCCTGCTCAGTCTTGGCACCGAGTGTTCATCCAGTTCCTTTTGGGTGTTCACCAAAGCCTCCCCATTTCAAGTGTGAGCCAGCAAATCTTCCCCCCAGTCTTTTCTCTCTGCTGTCCAGGCAGCAGCAAAGAACAGTCTTATCATGGACAGGCGTTTTGCCAGTGGTTGACGGAACCAAGTAAACATTTTCATGGAACTGTCAGCACCAGCTTCTTGCCCACAGACATTCGATGTCAGTTTTCAGAATGAGAGATGAATTGTTCTAATTTTTACCTGTAAAGCTTTGCTGGCAGGCACTGAGAACATTCAGAATTCAGAACATTCCAAAGGCGGCAGTTTACCTAGTTCTGTCTGAACAATGTAGAGGGCTCTGCGGGGGGATGTTTGCCTCGTCTCTAACAGAACCCCCCCCCAGAGTCACGGCCCCATCTGCCTAGTGACCATTCCGTGATATTGAGGCCAAATTGAATTTCTTCCCCCTGAGGAAGATTATCTTGCTCCTTTGTTCCCTGTTTTGTTTTATAAATGAAAGGTGTGGTTGTGAAATCCATCTCGTGTGTCCTGCTGCTGCTGAATCTTAACATGGCCCCGGGGAGCTGGGGCACAGGGGACGGATGACAAGGCCTTTTCATGATCAGTTCCCTTACGTTCCTTAACTGCCTGCCTGGCCTCCTCTGCTTCAGTTGTAATGACTTCTGTCATGTAAGCATGTCTGAAACGGGCACAGTCAGCTCTCAAGTTAGCCCCTCAAACGGGTGAGTGGATATATGAGTGTTGATATTCACCTTGCACAGTAAGGTGACAGGAATCAGCAAAAAACACTACAGCTTGGTATCAGATATACTTAGCAGCTCATTAAATTGGCATTATCCTCATTTTTTCTATTATATATGAAAATACTGTATCTTATTTAAGAAAAGAAAGGAGGTAAAATAATTGAAACCTAAAGAACACTTGGGGATTGTCCTAGTAATGTTGCTGCATTTTTTTCCTCTGACAATTCTTCAGGATCATGCAATATAGAGTGATTTTCCTAATTCAGAAAGAAAAAAAAGAGCTTTGCCCTGACCCCATTGAAGCAGCTAATAGGCTTATAGATCCTTTTTCCATTAGCACCCAGGTATCTATTTAAGAAGCTTCTAGTTAAAGCTGCTAATTGTATTGTTAGTTTTAGCAGTATGTCTCTCCTTTGTTAAGGCACTTTGGATGAATTAAATGTGCCTTTCTCCCGAAAGGTGTGCCTGCCGCTTCTCTGGTGACCCCTGCTGATGTCATCAAGACAAGACTGCAGGTGGCCGCCCGCGCTGGCCAAACGACCTACAGTGGTGTCATCGACTGTTTCAGGAAGATACTCCGGGAAGAAGGGCCCTCTGCATTTTGGAAAGGGACCGCAGGTAGGGGCTGGGGCCATGTGGAAAGGCTGGCATTGGGGTCCTGGTCCCATTACTGGCTGTCTTTGCCATAGTCATCCTGCTGTTAACTGCCCCAGTCTTTCTCTTTCAGCTCGAGTGTTTCGATCCTCTCCCCAGTTTGGTGTTACTTTGGTCACCTATGAACTTCTCCAGCGGTGGTTTTACATTGATTTTGGAGGCCTGTAAGTGCAGCTTTTCAACTCCCTTATAAAGAAAGCACCAAAACCCCAAACAGGTCTTTGTTCAGCCTACTAAGGCAGCTTTGGAACAGAAACTGACAGGACAGAGGATCCTGCAGGACCAACACATTTAAAACAGACAGTGGACTTGGGAAGCTTCAGTGTCGGAGGAGTAAGACCTTGGCAGGGTGACATCATACAAGTATTAAGCAGTTACTTGGGGAAAGTTTAGGGAGGCAGCAAATTAAAATGTAACGTGAAGAACTGTCTTCTACGTGTAGGCAGATACTGAGCTTCATGGATTTAGCTCCTTATTTGGATTCTATTATATATGGCCTTTTCTCCAGAAGTAATATAAATTTGTATTAGCTACACTTTTGTAAACTTTCTAAGACTCAGTCAAGCCCTTTCACACCCCCAAGATTTCATTATTCACCATAATTTATTCTTAGATAGGTATAGACATTCTTAGAACTGATTTACTGCAAAAAAAAGAAAAAATTCAAAGAGAGGTTATGCCCATGGACAAAATCACTGGTGACATTTAGGCCAGAAATTGGGCCTTTTGAAGCTTAGTACTTGAAGCTTGTGCTGTGGACAAGAGGAATCACTTGAATTTGCTGGCGAAGGTTTTACCCAAAGGAAGCAATTACCAGCTTTTCAGCAGAAGATCAAATTCTGTATCTGCGTCTTTTCCTCATAAACCTGTGAACCCCTTTCCTGCTCAGAAGCCAAGTAGGGAATTAGCTGTTGAACCAAGAAGTAGAGGGACTTAACACAAAGAAAGTAAGAACAGCAGTCTCACAATTCCAGGCTTTTCTATACTTTTACATCCTGGAAAAGTAAGAATTATATCTATTTCTCTTTAAGTAATTTTAGTAATAACCTTCGTGAGTCTCTTACCTTAAAAGTTAGCTTTTAAAATTATGTCAAAATAAAAGAAAGATGTAAATTTTCTATGATTAATTTATGCTTAGTGTAAAAAAATTGGGAAAACAAAAAGAGAAAAGAGAAAATCATCCGTATTCCTACTTCCCAGAGTGGTGATAGTTGAGTGTATTTTTTCTGGTCTCTTTTCTGTGGATCTATATATGTATATGAAATTGAAGCCATTTCTCTTAATCAAATATGTGAATATGTTGCTTTCAGAGTAGCTATAAATAATGACTAATGCAGCATAAATAACAAGGAACTCACTGGACAGACACTCTTCTTTGAGGCATGTGGGTCAGATTGAAAGTGTTCAGTATTTTCCATCTTTATCAGTCTCGAGCCCACTAACCATTGGCTTTCCCTATCAACAGCAAACCCTCTGGCTCAGAACCAACACCTAAGTCACGCATCGCAGACCTTCCTCCTGCCAATCCCGACCACATCGGCGGATACAGACTCGCCACAGCCACTTTTGCTGGCATCGAAAACAAGTTTGGCCTTTATCTCCCCAAATTTAAACCTCCTAGTGTTGCTGTGGCCCAGCCAAAGGTGGCGGCGGCAGCTCAGTGATGAGACAACCATCGAGTGCGGCAAAATGGCGCCCTAGAGAGAGAGGCCTAGGAGAGCAGCCCCGTAACGCATCCAGTCAGCTGCATGGTGCTGACTGAGCTGAGGGGTCAAACTATTCTTTCTATATGACATATACATATATTTGTTTATAAACTAATCATTTGCCCAGGAAAAAAAAAATACAACGCAGTTTGAATCTTTAGTTTTATGTGTTGAAACGTTTTCTAAGCCTTGGCATGAGTTACTGTCCTAGACTGCTTCGCACAGCTTGCACTTACAGTGACTGTACATATTGTACATCTTTGTACAGAGACATCTTGGCACCTCATCCCGACAAATCACATTTATAGAATGTAATGCAGTTCTGAGTGGCTTGAAATGTACAGAATGTTTTGAAAGCGCTTTATTAAGAATTACACGAAAATAAATGTATTAAAATTAAATTCATTCTCTTATTGGTGACTTACGGAAATAAAGCATTCAGTATTGGATGTATTTAATTCCTAGCTTGTTTTCCCTTCTGGAATAAAAAGGTATTTGCTGATAAGAGGCATAATGAGACAAAGTGCTGAGACCATTGAAGAAGAGACCCTTTGGAACAGATGCATGCCAGTGGATGCCGGAGGACCAGGTCAATGACTTGTGTGTGTACTGATAGGTTTCTATTTATATTTCACGTATGTATAGATTCTCCTCTGTTCATCAATCAAAAGGCATTTCCTAGACAGCTCCTCTCCTGCCAGTGTGCATATGGAAACAGGGATGTCTCCAGCATTACTGGCTTCGTTTTGCCTTCCTCTGACACAGCAAGGCAAGGGCCTAGCTTTCAAAAGAGTAAAGAATACTTTGGCAATTTTCCTTCATATGGATATGATTCCAATCAAAAATAAAATGCACACCAAAATGTATGCATGGAGTTGGATTTTCCTTCATAAAGGTACCGATAGTACTTTTTATTTTGATTCACTACCGATTCCCAATAACTAATGATCAGGTTTCCCTCTTTCCCACTTTTATAGGAAATCATTTGATTTGGAAAGGGCTGTGGTGGAGTGAGAGGAGTGCAGAAGAAAGAGAAAAGCTGTATCTCATAATTTGGTGGGGTCTAGGCTCTTCATTATGAATCCAAATACAAACTTATTCCAAAAGTCACTCACCAAGGGTGTGATTGCTAATTTAGATCTAAACATGCATCTTGACAGCCACATCAACACTTTGCTCTGGTTGTGATTTGATGTATAGCATCAGAATTTATTTACTTTAGCAAAGTGCTTTGGGAAAACATTATTGCTATTGCCAGTGAGCCGGCATATGAGAATGTATGCAAATATTTTCAAGGGGTGAGCCTGGAGCTGGACCAAGTCACTTAATATCCTACACGTGGTTCATCAACTGATGGCTGACAGCCCTGTAGCACACTATAGGCTCTCTCGAGGCCCTCCAGGAACAAAAGAATTCGCTTCGAAAGCAAGTTATTTCCAAATGTATTCAGCTGTTCTCATTGGAATGGAATAAATAGCAATACAGTTGTTTTGCTATTACCACCGGTTAAAAGTAAGCAAGTAGTCCACAGATATGTTCTTGCAAAAGTTTCAGGACAAAAAAAAAAAAAAAAAAATATATATATATATATATAGAGAGAGAGAGAGAGAGAGAGA